AACCAAATTTGACATGATTCCAAATATTTTTCCTTGTTGTGTGTACATAACAGTTGGGAAAATAAAAAATTACTGCTGGTATATATATGGATGCAGGAGGCACCTCATAGGAATAAGACAAGTTCAAATTTACAGTAATATGAGATTTATTACTTTAACCAGGGAATGCTGTTCAAACAAATTAATGTCATAAATTATTCATGTTTTTGTAAAATTAATCACATTCACCAAAACTGTTGATTGTTATGCAAAATATCCAGTGATTATGCATAATCACCAGATTTATCAATTTAACTGTAACCCATACATAAATATACATGCATTTATGTATGCTTAGATAGTTTTTCTTTCCAGCATGACTATACTTCATTTCTTCTATTTTTCTATTGTAAAATTTAACATTCCAATAAATCCTAATTTTAACAAAATAAGTCTATCTCCAAATTTATTTCTTTGGGCAAAAATAAAGCCATTTAGAACACACATTTATAGAAATAATATGTTTCATTCCATATTTTATTTAATCTATATGTCATAAAAATAAATTTATTCATCTTTTTGAATCTTTCAGAAATTAAAAACAGAATAAATAAAAGATTTCACTTATAAAAATTATTGCAAAAAGCAGCAGTATATGCTGTCTCACTAGGCTGATTTTGCTTTCAACACTACTATGTTCTTGTGGTTGTGAGAGAATTGAAGACATAAGTGGATGAAAGTGTTATATTACAAATCATTGAAAACTTGATTGTTCTGCAAGGATGAAGGTGTAATGATCCATCTCACATACCATCATGAAATATCTCAGAAATTAAATGACACTCACTACGTGACACAGAATATTCTCTACAACCCACTATTTTATAGAAATATTTACATCGGAATAATTATATAACAAAAATTTAAACATCAATTCACTCAAAATTTTCAATTTGTCATGTAATATTGTCATCCATTCATGTCTTCAGTTGTAATTAAAAAAACTAATGGGAGTTTTGTGTCCATTTTACTTAATCCATAATTATAATTTGTGAATATGTGCAAATCAGATCTTTTTGAAATATATTTATTATTATTATTTTAATGATATATTATTATTGCAATATCAATTTGCAAATGTATGTAATGAAGTAAATATCTAATTTGAATTGTTTGAAAATTTGATTCTCAAAAAATTTTAGGTCATTAAGATTATGAAAGTAAAGTAAATATTTAATTTCAGTTTCACCAACACCTAATTTTGCTGAGCTTAAAATTCTTTTATTTTTACAAATGTTTTCAACCTATTTAATATAGGATGATGGCCTATATTAAATAGGTTGAAAACATTTGTAAAATTTGTGAATTTATATATATAGAAAATCCATGTAATTATTCTCTAGGAAAAAATTTTATTTTTATTTATTTTATTGAACATTTTTGACTCAGTTTTTGTAACTCCATTCTCATAAGTCAACATATAATACAGTAGAACCTCGGTATACGACCTTAATCCGTTCCTGATGTTTGGACTTATACCGAATAGGACGTATACCAAACCAACCTTTCCCATAAGAAGTAACGTAAAAATGATTAATCCGTTCTCATGTGAAAAAAAATGGCTGACTTTAAACACCTCGCTTTCCTGGCTAGTTCCTGCTTGATTTTTCATTATCTTTTTAGCTTTCTTGCAAATAATTGCATCTAATATGCTGTCTCCAGCACACTGTTTTTCAGTTATCCAAAGCAAAAGCAATTTCTCAACATGATCTAATGTCTTCGATCTCTGTTTAGAAATTGATTTAACTGCTTTCGCAACATTAGCAGATTTAATAATGTCTTTATTTTTCATGATTGTCGATATCATCGTTCTCAGAATACGGTATGCAACAGTTAAAATCTTGAACACGCATGCCACCTTCATATTTCTCAACAATTTCTTTTATCAGTTCCATTGTGATCCTAGTCATTTTTTAGTTTTCTGTTGCTTTTCATTTGCCTTTTTGCAATTCATGATTAATAAAAATAATAAAATTTTACTTACACATTAAAATCAGAAGAAATTTAACAAAGTTATAAACCGTTGCACTGCGAACGTCTAGTCTGGTGTAGTACACCAATAGTGCTACTTGTTCATAGATGGCGCGTATAATTAAGTCGTATACTGAATAAAAGTCGTATACCAAGCAAAATTTGTTTCGTCCAACAGGACGTACTCTAAAACAGACGTATACCGAGGTACCACTGTATTCCTATTATAACTGTTATCTATACACAGGTATCTGAAATATAAAAGTTAGTTTTTTAAACAAATTTCTAGAATTTTTCTTTCTATTAATTTTTCAAATTTTAGTAACTTTAATTAACAATATCATTTACTTGTAGGAAATAACTAATAAAAATCATATGAAACAATATAAACATTGCTACATTGATAACATGTTTCAGGCTTCTATCTTGCTATCTGTACCTGTACGTTACATTTTAAATTATGTAACTAAACATTGTCATTTTAACACAAATTGCATAACAGATAAATATTCAGGGCAAAAATTAATATAAGACACTGTCTTATTATCGNATGCTTATATTATAATAAATCATACCATAGATTTTAAACTTGTCTTTGAAAAGTTTAAAAATTCTGATAAGTTTCCAGACTACCCCTAGGATTAAATGTTATATATTGAATTATTGAAACTGATCTTCATTTATTATTTTTAGTAATCAAATATTATGTACATATACATATAAACAATCTTTTTTTTAAAATTGGTTAATAAAAATAAAAAATTTTTTATTGATCTAACATAGTCAAAATTCTAAAAAAGTAAATTATTAATTGGAACATACTATTCAATTAAAAATTTTAATTAAAGAAATTTTATTCTGTGATAATAGTTTCTTCCAACTGATGCATCTAAATGAACAAATTTCTTCTATAGTTCAAACTAGCTTTTAATATGATTAATAAAAATTATCTTTATGAACATTTTACAATTTTAATGGTCTTTAAAGCATAAATAACTGTTCTTTACTGAATTATTATTTTCACAATAAAAGTATGTTTTGTATTACAGCTGAATTTCTAATTGTGCAATTAATAATAATTTGCTGCCAGTTGGAAGAATGTAGCACTTTTATTTTGATACGTTCTATTTGTGAAAGTAGAAGTTTAGTTTTAAAGTTTTGAAATAGTTTTGATTCATTAAGAAATTGGTATCTCTAATATGAAATTCATTTCATTAGTCTGAAAAATATGAATATATAAAAAAGTAATAAAAAATACACACGTTTAATAATATAATATACTATTGTGTGTGTATACACACACACACAATAGAGCATAATATATAAACTGAAAGAGAATCATGCAAATTTGTGAAATTTATATATGTTTTAATTTCTGCAAGAAATAAATAAGATTTTATTTAGGGCATTTTTTAGGGCATCTATAAGCTATAAATAAACAAAGCACTTTATGCAGAAATATAACCTTAAAAAATGTAGATTCATAGAATTAGTCTAAATATTTTTAAAATAAATATTAAATATTATATGAAATATATAATAAAGTACTGAATAAATTATGAACTTATCTATTGTTAGTAACATTTAAAATAGGTATTGGAAATAAAAAAAATTCAATGGTCTAAATTATTTTAAAATAAAAAAATAAAATATAACATTTCATTTCCAAAATTTGATAATACAATTTAAATCTGTAAATTTATTTAATTATATATTCAATATTCTTTCACTTGAAATCAATCACCATTTATATGTTCAAAAAAATGTATGTAAAAAATTGTTTTTGTTGCTCAAACATTTAAAATAATAAGGTCATATTCACACCTCATTGTTTATTATTTAATAAATAATGATGATATAAAATAATGCCTGTTTATAAGATTAATAATCTTTACAGATACAAAATTAAAAACATAACTGTATATATTAATTATAGTTTCTGTTTTAATTTATCTATCTTATAATCAGTAACATTTTTATCATAAAACATTCTGTTAATTCTTTAATTATTACATTTTCTCTGGAAAATTAACAAATCAAAAATATCATTTCCTTTGAAGGAAGACGTTCAAAGATATAAGTAATTTCTCAATAATAAAGTTATTGCAATTCGGAGATAATTATTGCTGATATGTTTCATTAATAGAATTTGATAACAAAATTTACATAATATGTATTAATTTTCTCAAGTATCGAATTAAATAATTTTTATATAATTTCATAATATTTATTTTTATTTCCACATAAATCTAGCTGCATTTGATACATAAAATGACTCACTAAATAGCATTGAATAATTGCACAAAAAGAAAAATTTCTTAATTACATAAAAGGTATGTAATAGAAGAATGCTATTGCAACTGTAAGATCAAGTCAAAACAGACAGTAATCATATAAATGTCATAATAAAATAATCAAGCAACTTTATCTAAACTGAAAAACAAGCAAGTAGTAGTTACTTTTAGGTATTTCCTCTTTATAACATTTTATAATAATCTAAAAGTAACTTCTACTGAAAAAAAATAATAATATAATGTGCAAATATTTTATGAAATTTATAAAATTACTCAGTTATTATTTTAACACATCTCTCATTCTCATTATAAAATGGCTAAAAGACTAATTTAGACAAGAGAAAAATTTTTAGGCAATTAAATACACTACAAAATTTCTACTTCATATAGAATTGAAGTAAGTAATTTTAAAACAAAAAACTTTTAAATTATATAAGTTTAAATGGAATTTTTTGATATTATCTATTCCCCAACACTTTATAAAGAGTATTTCGTTGTAATTAACTTTGTTAATTATTTGTAAACATTAGGAAACGAATTTTAAATTGCCGTTATTTTCTCCGACGAAATATGTCTGGCTGCAAAGCTACATAACTAGGCTTAAAGTCAATCGATATCTCTCAAACGGATAATAATACATTCGCTATTTAAAGTCGAATTTAGAAAAAAAAGCCAGTGTAAAAATATCGTCCTTACCCAGCATAACAATCTTAGGATAACTTGTGGTCTCTGGATAAAAGCGAAGGGATCGAATGGAGCCCCAGCTTTTCCTGCTCCGTAAGCCCCACCGTTCATATTGGAAACACCGCACGGAATCATGGGATGATGGGATGATGGGAGGAGTGACGTCAGGCATGGACAGACCAAGCGAAACAAACACTTTCAATTTTAACTGAATATCTTACTTACATTTTTTAATTTTAAAATATCATTCTCCATTTCATTCCGTATATTCTGTTTAAAGAAATATATATATTACTTTCCGTAATGCGCCAACGCAATCAATATAATATAATCACTTTATTTTTCTGTTCTAAAAGATCACTCATCCAGGTTAAAAACTGAAGGGTTGCAATAGATAATGAAGAAAATAATGTATTTGTTGGAAAATATCCTGCAAAATGTTAGGGATTTCGTAATACAGAAATTAATCTCCAATTTCTATAAAATTGGTATTAAAGCTAATTAAAAATTTCGACATAATTCATTTATATTGTTGATGTGGGTCAATAATTATTTTTAAAATAGTTTAATTATAGATCTACTGTTTGTCAGTATAAATATAAATCTATTGTAATAAATAACAAATTGAAATCGTAATGGAGATAAATAAAAATTATTAAAATAAATTTATATAACAAATATTTTAGAAATTTTGGTTTATTATAATAAAAAACTTATCATTATTCAATCTGAAAAAAATTGGCTGTTGGTTTAACCTTGGTTGTTTGTTCGGTTTTTATTTTTTAAATAGGCATTGGATTAAGGATTTTTTTATTTATTTACTCTTTCCGCCCTGTGGACATTATTAAGAAGGCCTCTTATTGCAGGCCCATTATGAGTTCGGCAAGGCTCACAATAGGACGACCGGGTGGTGAGGGATGGGGCCCGACATATCCGAACGGACCACCCCCCGAAAAGCTCTTGGGGATTCCTTGACCCGTCCGGATTCGACTCCGGATCCCCCAGAGTGGTAGGCTGCCACCTTGACCGCTCGGCCATCCGGCCGCATATTTAGGATTTAATTATTTCAGTCGAAGCGGTAGGCTGCCACCTTGACCGCTCGGCCATCCGGCCTATTGGATTAAGGATAGACATAAAGCGATGTACATCGGAGAAAAGACCAACAGGATAGAATCTCCACATAAACTGGATTGAAGAAGAAGAAGCTGACCAGAGCTAACAGACTACCTATTGTCTAAAAGGCCCTCTGGTGGCGCAAGAAGACGGATTTTATAAAATAAAAAGCAGTTGAAACTGCATTTTTATGAATAAAAATTTGACAAACTATTTTATCGTTTTATGACGAGTAAAATTTTTGCGTCGCGTTCGCGGCTTTTAAGTAATGCATAAACCTTCGAAACGCGAGGCCCTTCGGCCCGCGAGGCGTAGGCGGTGGCCTACGTTGTCCATGCCTTACGCCGCCCTTGGTCATAGAAATGATATAATTTGAAAATAAAATTATTTATAACTACGTATGTCAAGTTATATTTTTATTACGACGCAAAATATATTTAAGAGTTTACGACCACTGTTTCACATGAGACGTTGTTGAAACAGAAAAAGTTATGCATTCCATCACGTACATAAACAGTATCATAATTTGCCAAGTGCAAATCAGTAAATTTGTAAAATTTTTGTTTATTTTGAACAATCCGGATAATCGAGAATCTGGATAATAGAGGTCCGGATAATCGAGGTTCTACTGTAATTTAAAAGTTTTCGTTGAAACAAAAACACCAATTCAAGCATATGTATAATTTTACTGTCGTTCTATTGTCTTTGTAAGAGTATTTGGGGCGTGAAATAATCAAAAAGTCCCAAACACTAAAGCTGAATTTGAGGGGGCGTCCACACATTCGCTATTCATCGATGCCTTGTCGCCATACCATTTGCCGAAGTGTTCGTCACTAGACGAGCACACAAGTAAGTACACACATTATTTATCAAGCATTGGTTCGTTGCGGGGACGACAATTGTCGTTTGATAGCTATAAAATGAGCAATTCTCAAACAATAATTTGTTTTGCTGCTTTTTTAGTGAAGAAAAGCCTAAAAGAAGAAGAGAGCAGATAGTAGGCTATCATTTCACCGAAGCAAAAAAAATGTAAACATGAAAAAGAAAGGAATTTAAAAAACCAATGAAGTTGTATTGTAAAAAGTCACCAGAAAAAACTACAGAAAAACTGATAATAATAAATACTTAGTCTTAAACTATAAACCAACTCGAAAAAAATAAACTAAATTCAAAAATAAAAGACTTCATCTAGTTTTAAAAGACAAAAATAGTAATACTGATGACAAAACAAAATAAAATACTGTATACAAATTCGAGCACAAATGTGTGGAGACGAATATTCGTCATCTTTGATTCGGCACAATTTACCGACAAGAATCGGGAAATAGCGAATACCGAACATTTTCCATTTCCCTATGTACTCGCCTCGAGTAAACCATCTACACTAATCGGTATTCGCTGAAAGCCGAGCAAACATTTGGACAATAGCGAATTTATGGACGTGCCCTTACAGGAGACACAAAAGAACAGTCTCAGCTTTTATATTGATATGTAGCAACTGAGACTATGAAACTTGAAACCTTAAGGTATTACATTTAACCGGATTGATCCATGGCAATTGGTTAACGACAGAATGCATTCCAATGCATTCTGATATAGATATAGGCATCAGAAAGTCAGTGTCACACAGTACTAAATAATAAACACTATACTAAAAATATAATAATGTGTTTCATAAGGGTGGCACTTAGAACCCTAAAAGTTTCACTGTTATCATGACTTTTTTTAAAACTTTTTCCGCCCTGTGTGCACTAAGATGGCCTCATTTAGCAAACCCATTATGCGTTTGGCCAGGGCCACAATGGGACGGACGGTGGTGAAAGACACGGGCTAATATATCCAGTCGGACCATTCCTCAAAAAAATTCTGGGGATTTTTCGACCCTACCCCAGAGCGGTAGGCTGCCACTTTGATCGCTCGGCCATCTGGTCAACACTGTTATCATAACTGAAGATGATGTCTTCATATAGACAAGTGACAAAAAGGTTTCCATGTTGAATGGTTTTATTGGGCAATGAAGTGGCCAAGTTTTGAAACCTTGTAGAGTTGTAAAAAGATGCCATTAGAGTATTATTACTATAAAGAGCCTAATACGAACTTCAACAGGTCTTAATTAAGTGCACGTGGGACATTTTGAGAGTTCAGTGATTTTAACACAACTGCGGTGCGAATCCAATTTTTACTTTTAAGGTTTTTCTAGTTGTGACAGGATCACGCCATCTCTGGAGGCGATGCGGATTCATAAACAACTCAACCTCGCAGAAATCTGAATTTGAGTGAGAGTGGCGCTTGGGACCTTTTGATTCTTGCGCTTTCCTTTATTGTTCGTTAGGGAGATATTTTGGTATCTAAATTAAATTTTAAAATTTTTAACATTTATCATAACTTCTTTTTAATACATATTAATATAGTCTATATTAGCTACTACCGGAATAGTAAGACAATAATGGTTTTATACAAACGTTGCAATACTGCGAAATATAAAGAACAATAATAAACTTAATCCAGTAGCAACAGTCTGCAAGGGTATGATGACCAGACATATGCTTTAGTGTATGTATCTAACGCAGGGGTGGCCAACCTTTTGCATACCATGCGCCAATTTTTTGATAGACGAGTTCAGATGCGCAGTGGCGTACCGTGGGTGTTAGCCGCCCGGGGCGGAGAAAAATTTCGGCCACCCTTTAATCAGGTATTTCAATTTAAAAGATCAAAATTCAGTTGTGTGAAAAAAAAATTAATAAAAAATGCGGTGGTGGTGTAGTTACCCGTACAAAATAGTCCCATTTGACATTAGTGGCATACACGATTGCGAATGTATCGTGAATCGTAGAAGAAAAAAAAAAAAGAAAAAAAAAAAAAAAAAAAAAGGTCAACAGGTGTAGCAGTCCAACCGACTCGTGGACTGTCCGGACGGTAGCACTGTCATTTAGACGCCTATGCACTGATCGAAAATAAACATACATGCATACACTGTAATTTACTATGTGGAGAACACTCATTTTATCTGTAAAGTTGATTGCAACGAATTGTGCAACAAATGAACTTGCCAAGACAGACTATAAAAAATTAATTTTCTATGTAATATTCTTAATTGCAAAGAAGCCAAATCTGGCAATGTTGCTCAGAACTGACTAAAGCGCCACTTGTAATCGTCCAATGCGCCAAGTTTGGCGCATGCGCCACGGTTTGGCCACCCCTGATCTAACGCATCGAATGCCGGAGATACCGTTTCTCTGGCTTTCATGATCAATATTCACTATTCTTGCACGAATAATTCCCTATTTCTTATCAAAATGCTAGAATAATATCATAAATTTGGGCTTCAAATCTAGAAAGTATTCGAGATCTCGAATATTACATTCATTGAAAATAAATTTAAATAGTACAAATATCTCCAATATTGCACCAAGCGTATTAATACAATCACAATGGTGGATCCAGAAGTACCAAAAGTGGAGAACTCAAAAATTAAATATATTTGAATAGTTAAATATATAAATAATAATTAAATATAACATTTTATTAACATGTGCACAAGTAGCGGATTTACTATAACCTGGGTACCACCTGGGCCCTAGACTGAGGTTTAGTAAAGCTCCCCGATCTTATCTCCTGTCCATGGGTGTCGGTTCTTTAAGTGTTGAGGTATGGAATTTTGTGAAAGCAGGACCCCCATTTTCACAAAATGGTGATGCATTGCTTAGAGTTAGAAAAATTTTGATACTTTGAATTATGTAAGAGTTCGATTGGTCAACATCCAAGGAAAAAATTTGTTTTCATACAGAGAGCAAGTGCCTTGGTTTGCCTTGCATTAAATTATAAATAGTTTTTTCAATATGTGAGGTATGGAGTCTTCCATATCTTCCATAGTGGAAATGACACTCCTGCTTCTGTCCCATTCGTTGAATAGAATAAAGTGCCATTGAAAACGTTACGTTTTCAATGACACTTTATGCTAAATAACATATTTGATATTTTATTACAGCAATAACCATATTTTTGTTTTTATTCTCAGGC